CACCTGACACTGGACTTCCTCCCCTGCCCTGGCCTTGGTGGGCCCCGCAGCCTCTGCGGAACGCAGGCCGGCTCTGCCGCAGCGAGGGCAGCCTGCCCAGAGCAGGGCCTGCGAGGAGTCTGCAGCAGCAGCAGCAGCCAGGCCCGCAAGGAAAGCACAGGGAGGTGTTCATCTCCATCCTGCGGCTGAATGTGTGCTTTCCAGAGCCTCTTGCCTGGGAAAAAGCAGCCCCCAGGGGTGGGGCGGGGGGTTGACCCCCAGCCAGAGCTGAGCCGTGTGGCTTCTTTTTAGCAGTGGCTTGGCTTGGGGAAGGATGCTTTCATGCGCGCGATGCCATTTCCCTGTCTCCTAGACCTAGAGGGCAAGCAGTGGCACAGCACAGGGGGTGTCTAAAACCTCCCAAAAGGGCTTTTGTCCTGCAGCCCCGATGTTGGCCTGAGCCAGGGCTGCCGCAGGAAGCTTGGGGCACTGCAGCCCACAGGCCCGGGCGCCCTCGGCATGTGGCAGCAATTATCACACTCACACAAAGACATGAGTGGGGAAGGTGCTAATTGTCCTCCAACTAGCCAAGTCCATTTTGTCTCGTTTGAAATAACAGGTTTAATTTAATCCCTTATTTCCAATTTGGTGCAGCACTAAGAGCTTAATGTACAAAAGACCTGATTATAATAATTACAGGCTAAGCCTGGGAGGCCGTCTTGTTTGTGTCTGAAGAAAGGGACTAACAAGCCACCTCCTCAGGGGGTCCCCCTTCTCAGGAGGCGGCCCCAGCTGCCTCCTCACCCCCAGCGGCTCCAGGAAGGCTGGGTGGCGACAGGTGGGAGCTTGTTTGCACATCCTCCCCGAGAGGAGAAAGGAAGGCCAGCGCGAGAGTTCGCATCTCAGCTCCGGCGCTTCCCCTGCAGGCGCGTCTCAGGCAGGTCTTAGAGGTGAGCGAGGGTGCCTGCCTGCCCTGGCGCCTGGCACACAGCAGTCGGTCTTAGAGGTGAGCGAGGGTGCCTGCCTGCCCTGGCGTAGCCGGGCGCCTGGCACACAGCAGTCACTTGGCTGCATTAGGATTTTCACTGGGCCCCGAGCTTGGAGAGCAGGACTGCTTCGTGCCCTCCCCTGGGTCCCCAGCACATGGCTGGGACCTGGGCAGGCATTCCGGTGGTTTGGGGATTTTGATACGGGGGAGGGCAGGTGATTGTGGTAATGAAATGTCAGTCATCGGAATCTGTCTCCTACCAGCCTGGAGGGCTGGGAGCGGGCCGTGTGCTCCAGGTAGTGCTGCCTCGGGGCCAGTGGGACCTGGCCCTGGATCCATCGTCAGGGCTCTGGGCAGATGGACTGGAATAGATGGCTCCCTGGTGGGGGGCCCAGGCTGGGACTGGCTAAGGTTGGGAGTGGGAGGGGAGCTGCATCCCCCAGATACTCCTGGGCTCTCTGAAGCAAGGAGTTCATACTGGGAGGAAGTTGGATATAGCTGGTGGGGAGAATCCTGGTAGTTAAATGCCAGCCTCAGGAATTGGGCCTTGGATCTTTGGGGAAGAGGGGAGGCAGGGCCTGTAGAATTGGGGGAAAGTGCCCGGGTTCTAGGACCTAAGAGCACATCCCAGCCGGGGAAGGCCTCTCACACAGCAGAGGGGCTTGGGTGGGGAGGCAGTCCTGACGTCCAGCGCGTCCAGGTCCCAGCCCCTCTGGCCCACCCGCCAGCACCGCTGGCCACCAGCAGTGGCCGGACCCCAGCCGGAGCTTGTTCTGGTTGATTCCTTGTGTGACTGGTTTCTGGGCTGCGCTTGGCTCGCCGGGGCACTGGGGAGGGGCCGAGTTTCATTCGCTTGCCCAGCCCGAGCTGGCAGCCCCTGGCAAGTCTGTGATGTCTCCCGGGCAGCTCCAGCTTTCGGCATTAGTCCCGCTAACCAGATTGCTCGGGAAGCTTCGGGGTCACCGGGAAGCGCAGCCTGTTCCTAGCTCGGCATGTGAGTTCAGGCGGGACATCCAAGCCCACAGGAGCCCTGGAACACGAGACCCACAGGCTCCTGGCTGCCCAGCACTGAGGGTGATGGGCAGACGAGCCCTTCAGCTGGTTCTCTGCCAGCTTGTGGGGGGCACGTAGACTTACCCCTGCCATATACCCTCTGGCACCCCATGGTAAGCTGCACCCAGATCCAGCAGCTGGCCCTGTTCTAAGTAAAATGCCCAGTACAAGGACTGGTGGCCTTGTTGCCACTCCAGCTGGGGAGGTGGGGGGGGTGGGGGTTGCAAGTCATTGCTGCTGAGAATGGTGGCCTCTGTCTCACTCTGGCTGGGCCGAGGCCTTGCTCCTCCTGGGCCCACATCTTCTTGGTCCACTTGGTGGCTAACAGGACCAGGGGAGGGGGGTGCCAAGTCATTGCTGCTGAGAATGGTGGCCTCTGTCTCACTCTGGCTGGGCCAAGGCCCTGCTCCTCCTGGGCCTACATCTTGGTCCACTTGGTGGCTAACAGGACTCCCCGGTCCTTTGGCACCTGTAGCCATCCCAGGCCTCAAAATCACAGCCAGTCTGAGGGTACGAACGGGGGCAAGGAGCCTTCCCAGTCCTTGAGCGAATCTCCTGGCTCCCAACAGGCATCCGGAGCCGGGGCAAATCTGTGCCCTGGAGAGGAGCCACTTCTCAGCCATGAGCGGGACAAGGAGCGGCAGCCAGTGGCTGGAGAAATGAAAGGGAAGAGACAGCAGGGCAGCTGCCCATCTGCTGCTGCTCAGATGTAACTGGGTTAGTGCCTCAGGGGCTCCGGGCTTGTCTCTTAAAGCGGCAGAAGCCAGAAGAGCAGAGGCAGTGGCACGCTGGGGAGAACGGGGCCTTGGGCCTCAGGCAGCCCCGGGCTGGCCAGCAGCTCCGCGCTCATTGGCTCTGTGACCCTGGGCAAGACACTTGGCCTTTCTGCACCTTGTCTCCTTGAATCTAAAGAGGTGGCCATGTGAACACGTGCCCAGCGTGGTGTGACCTCAATTATAGTCTCTACTTGCAGCCAAGTAACCAAAGAGGCCTCTTTCCATCCTGCCAAGTGGCGTGTCCCCCTCACCCCCTTGCCAAGCACACGCCGTGTGTCTCCCTGCCACGTAGAGCGAGCCACTCAGAAAAGGTGGCGTGCATTCGGCACTTGAGATGCCCTGAGAAAGCCATGCCTGGGGGCGGGGGGTGGTGATGGGGCTCCTCTGTCATCTTTTCGCCTGCTGCTGGCTGCCAGCACCCAGAACCCCTCCCGCCCTCGCTTCTCTGCTGGGTAAGTGGGAATGTTCTAGAGGGAGCTCCAGCTGATTACCTCCCCCGGAAGAAAGAGGCAGGAACTCATTAGCCCTCACATCCTGTTGACTGCAACCTGGGCAGGTGGCCTCCGATTCTCCCGCCTGCCCTTCGAGGTTGGGAAGGGAGGGTGTCGTGCTCTCGGCTTTTCTCTAAAGGACCAGAGCGGGGAGAGCACCAACGAGGAGCCGGATGTGCTTGCTCCCTCCCCCCCTCACCCCCC